AAATCTGATTTAAATTTAAATTTAAAATTAATAATTAGTATTAAATATTATAAAATAAATTTGAAATTGAATATAAACTATAAAACTCTTAGAAATATTATAAAATTTAAAGACTTTTTTTAGAAATAAAATTCTTTTAAAAAAGAAACTATAATATTTTTGATTAAAAAAAAATATATAATAAACTTTTTAACTGAAATATAAAAATCAATTATTTTAATTATTATTTTTTCTTATTTATATTACTCTATAATATAATTAATTATAATTTCTAAATAATATATTATTTCAATATTATTTATTATTATTATATTATATATTCTTTAATATATAAAAATATAGTTTTATAAATTAAATTAAAATATTAATTTTATTTTTCTAAAATCTCGAAATAAATATTTTATTATATTTTAAAAAGTATTTTTAAATTTGTTTTTTTTTTAAACTATATAAAAATTTAAAATTTGATATAAAACTTGATTATTAATATTTTTCGAAATTTCAAATTTTTGATTAATAATAATAATAATAATAAATATAAAAAACTATTTTTAAATTATATATATTCACTCTAATATAGATTTTTATTTTATTATTAATATTTTAAAATATTATTACTCAAAATTGATTAATATTCAATTGAATATTTCAAATTTTTTAAATTCCTGAAATTATTTTTTAATAAATATAAGATTCTATTGTACAAATTTTAAAATCATTATAATGATATTTGAATTTAATATCGATTTTTAGTTTAATAAATCAAATTGTGTAAGATACAGGGTTGTGCAAGATACAGGGATATTGGTTATCAACCCTTGAAGGTTTTGATGTTTGATTGATTCCTCTTCAGACAATGAATGAAATATACACATGAACGATTGTTACCCATGTATGTATTCAGATAAATGATTTTGAGACCATACCAAATACCTGGGTACTCTTTTCAACATCAGAACTCAATTGCAGCAGTTTTACAGTTACCTCTCACTCGAGTATCTAGACCCCATATTGGCCTTGTCTTTAAGGCCTGACTGCCAACTCTCCGAAACTTAACCGGCTCGAAGCACTAATAAACTCCCGCCCCGCTACAGCACATCAGACAAGACAAGACAACAAAAGCTCCCTCCAACCCTGAAATAGGATAACCAGCAGGATACCTACGTAACCTTAACAATTATTCTACCCCTCATCTCACCTTTTTTTCGAATTCATCCAAGATTACTCTTGTGAGACGCCATTGCCTGCGACAATCTATTACTGCCCAACACTTTCTTATAAACACTACATCATCTTCCAGCCCTCGAGTTAACTTCGCTGGCTATCGCGATAATGAGCACCATGCTCCCGGGGACACACGTCTTCTCTCATCAACATCAATACAATCCGCAGGTCGACCAACCATGGATGCACCAGCAGACCCACCTTCAACAGGCGCAGCAGCAGCATGCAGCGGCGGTTCAGGCAGCTCATTATAATCGCATGGCGGGTCAAAATCAAAACCACAACGCCGCTGTACCTTCCATTTCCTCAAATCACGGACAAGACGCAGCAGCCATGATCGACTCCAATGTTTCAGAAGAAAATAGAAGGACTTTGAACTTCATTGCAGATTTACTCAATGAAGACACCAGGGAAGCTGCTCTCCTGGAACTCAGCAAGAAGCGCGAACAAGTGCCAGAGCTTGCATTGATACTGTGGCATTCTTTTGGTAAATTTACGCCGTTGGAAGCGGTAGCATTATGACATGCTGACAGATCTAGGTGTGATGACATCACTTCTCCAAGAGATAATCTCAGTCTATACTCTTCTCAATCCCTCCCAGCTCACCGCCGCCGCATCAAATCGAGTCTGCAACGCCCTGGCTCTTCTACAATGCGTTGCTTCTCACAATGAGACTCGCGCCCTTTTCTTGAATGGTTGGTTATTCGGACATCATTGATATGACGCAGAACTGACATTAGTAGCTCACATCCCTCTTTTCCTCTACCCTTTTCTCAACACGACTTCTAAATCCCGACCTTTCGAGTATTTACGTCTTACCTCCCTTGGAGTCATCGGTGCCCTTGTCAAGAATGATTCATCCGATGTCATTAATTTCCTCCTCACTACTGAAATAATTCCATTATGTCTTCGAATCATGGAGACCGGATCAGAACTTAGTAAGACAGTTGCAATATTCATTGTGCAGAAGATCCTTCTTGACGATCATGGTCTTAATTATATTTGTGCTACCTATGAGCGATTTTACGCTGTTGGCACAGTACTCAGCAACATGGTTTCACAACTTGTTGAACAACAAACTGCGCGATTGTTGAAGCATGTCGTCCGCTGCTTCCTTCGGTGAGAATTCATCCAAGACTCCGAGATCGTTCCCGCTAATATGAATTTCAGATTGAGTGATAATGCGCGAGCTCGCGAAGCCCTCCGCCAATGTCTTCCTGAACCTCTCCGCGATGCCACTTTCTCCTCAGTCCTTCGCGATGACGCTGCTACCAAACGATGCCTTGCACAACTCCTCATCAACTTATCCGATAACGTTGTTGAATCTTCATCGGGTCACCAAGGTCTCTAATATCTACTTTCTAATTCCACTTTCAATGTACAATTATAAAAGCACCGATACGACGCAAACGAGCATGGGGGATTTCATCTTCGGTTTTGCATAGACATCACGATACCCGGTCTTTCTTTTCGGAAATGTCGTAGATCTCTGCAGCTGGTCATCACAGGTTTCATAAAAGCATTGCGGGTCAAATGGGGTTGGTCTGAAGGGTGTTTTGCGCGGCTTGGTTCAATGAAGGTAGGAGTTGACAGTTACCGCTCCTCAAGCGCATCAATCTGGCGGGGGCTTCAAACTTACACCTCCACTCCAGGTGGATGGTCATTTCTTTCATTATTTACATTGATTGGTGTTGATTACTGTATTTGGCTGTTTTGAGGGCGTTGGGGACATCTTACATGCTGCACTATAATATAATGCTGCTAGGGAAATGGGTTGTAAAGTAGGCAAAAACTTCAGCGTTCAGGAATAGAGATATACATTCTTGATATTGGGATTGAGTATTAAGAAAGCTTATCGACACTGTGAATATGAATAATGAAAGTAAAGCGGGGACGGCACAATATTACAATCTAGAAGTCGAGGGTCTGAGAGTCTGACAGATCATAGATTTGGCAGACCCTTCAACTGATGTTAAAATTGGGCATACGGGTAGTAACTCTATTACTCCACTACACTGTATCTGGGTATTGCACAAACCTTTGATCGATAACCGGATTCGCGGAACTGATATAAATATGCCGGTACCTGGCTATGTTTATTAGGATTCGTTGGGAATGTGCAGCGGCGGATACGGCACTTAGTAATAGTTATCAATACTCGAGTACATACATACTATTCTACCAGTGCCAGCCTACCTCGCCTACCTTGTCATAAACATTCTAGATGCGGGAGGAGATGTACCTGGGTGCCCACTGCCCCGTCTCTTGTGCCCAGTCTCGAGCCACCTACAGTGTACGAGTGTACGAAGCTGAATCATCATCAAGGTGTACCTAGTAGGTATGGTGATCTATCACACAATATCAATGTGTCTCATTCCGAAGATTCCCCAGAATGAATATCGTAGGATGAATAGTAATCAAAACACCTCGGATATTTTTGGAATCTCCTTCTCCATGACCCACCACCCAACAATTCTTGGGACAGATGCATGATACTCGAATGAAAACGTCACATATCGGTACATCTACCTGCAACAAAGGGCCCCCAACCACCGACAAGCAGTTGGTGTATCGTGTATCGATTATTGATCCACAACCTTAAATCTGCCGATTATTATAGTTCTTCCTCTACTTACGAAAGCGACCCAATTACCAAGCATCAAATTCCGAGTACCTAGGATTTCGTACGGATTTACCTGGAATCTACCGGCTAGACTCAGCTCTACTTGCATAACCTTACTCAATACTGTATTCCATCTCAAAAGGTTGAGCGATCAGAGGAAGAGAAGAGACGGTACAGTTAATCGGCTGAAGAAAAGCTGATAAACCTTGTCTTCCGTTTTTCGTTTTCCTGCATACCCACCACCGTACCTGGTATATACATAAAAAAGAGGAAAAAAACAAAGAAAATCAATCTGATGACTGGAGTAGAAAGATTATGCTACTGTCGGCGTTAATGTGAACTGTCATTCAGCCAATACTTGATCCAGAAATCATTCCACGGCTGACAAGGACGACAAGGACGACAAGGACGACAAGGACGACAAGGACGACAAGGACGACAAGAGAAGACAAGACAAACTACTCACCGGTCGATGTAAGGCGTGGTCATATTATCGCCGTCTCCAATAAGTGTGTGCTTGACTTGTTTATAAAGCAGATTGGTCCCACCCCCGCATTCAAATTGGCCGAAGATGAATTCTTCTTATAACGGTGTTCCTATGCAGCAGGACGATCGATATGCTTTGACAATTCTTACTGAAGCCGCTATGCAAACCGATCCTCAAGCTAACAACAATCCTTCATCCAATAATTTCAATACAATGTCAAACGCCACCAACACTGCCTATCTGAGTAGTAATCTAGCTAAAAACAATAGTGTCTCGACAGTCCAAGACACCAGTTATCATTCACGTGCACCGCCTATCTCGACACCCATTTCTTCATCCGCGATCAGTAATCGTCCCACCAATACATCGCAATATCGGTTTCCACCTTCAATATCCAACCTTCTCGGGGACCACACAAGACCTCACCAAGATATGCAGGGACTTGCTTTCAATCCCACAGAACGAACCTCACAAGGTATCTTTATGAACCATCCATTTCAATCAACATATTCCGATAGTCTAGGAATTTTGAACGCTGAGAAGTATGATGATGGGATATCTCATAATCCTAGTATGATGGGTATGAAAAGTCTGATGCAAAATCAAATACCGTTTGGAGTGGTGGAGAAGCATGGAGATAGTAGTGATACCAAACCACAAAGTGAAGAGAATGAGCATGGACAAGGGAAGAAGCGAAGGAAAAGAGCCAGAAATGAGTCTCCAAATCCTGATGACGACGATGATGATGAAGCTCGAAAAAAGGCGAGAGGGAGACCAAGAGTTGATACTAAAGATGAAACAGCTGCCGATGTAAGTTTCCTCCGCCTGGCTACACATGTCTGTTCTGGAAGCAAAACACTTTTAGCCTATCAAATCAGATTATCTGATCTAGGATATCAACTCCCTATGTTCTCCAATGCATGTTGACAATTATCACATTGCTAATCATTACCCAGAGGCGAAGAACTCAGATTCGAATGGCCCAGAGGGCCTATCGACATCGCAAAGAGACAACAATTTCTTCTTTAGAGAGGCAAGTCCAAGAACTTAGAGGTACAAATGAAGAAATGAATAACATATTCATTAACCTCTATGACTTTGCCATCAGTAGAGGTCTTCTACAACGCGAGCCGGAGTTTGGTCAGCAACTTCAATCAACTACACAAAGATTCCTTGCTCTCGCAAAACAAAATGCAGGCGACGAACATCCAAGGCATACAGATGACTCGCTAGATAATACCACACATGAATCTCATGGGGAGGTCAAACATCCTTTGACAAGTCAGAATGCTCAGTACCCACCTCCCCATACTCTGCCTTCAGATGAGCCGGCTACCACCGAGACCATAAACACATGGGGTGGATACACTGTATCGAAGGATACTGGTTCTGAAGAAGAAGAAAGGCAGATCGAATATAATCACAACGGCACAGAAGAACCTAGACAATTTGAGATAATCAGCAGGGCAACTGAAGATAACGCGAGTTTTCCTTTTGACTGGACGAGTATTCAACAATATCGAGTCGAGATACCTTCCCCTACCAGCAATGATTTCCTCCAAAGCTTTTACCCTCATGCCGAGGTCCCGCTTCCAACTACACATTCTTACTTTGAACTTTCATTTGCACGTAGAGTGCACCGCGCGACAGTGGAACAAGGCTACAAGTTACTTACAATGCAAAATCCTCCACAACAACGATTCGAAAAAGCATTTGGCTATTGCTTGAAATATCAAACCAAGGAAGAATGCATTGCGCGATTTCAAAGGATTATGAATACTTCATCAAAGGGATCTCTTCAGGAATGGCGCTATCCATTAGTTCACCTTGGAGGATCAGGTACATACTATCCCAATCAAGACTCTGATGCTGATAATGAGTTGATGCCCAAATTCCGTACTGGATTTTCTATGGGCCCATTTTCCACAGGCGTCACACCACTACTGGAGAACATCAGTTCTGATATGAAATGTACCATTCCTGGATTTGAAGGCGAGTTTTTTGATCCTAACGACGTTGAAGGCTATCTTAGAGGTCATGGATTCGATCTTCATCCAGGTGCCGACTATATCACAGGACAAATAGAACTTGAGGTTTCTTCAGGTGCCCACAGTCCAGGGACTGCTAGTACTGACTCGATATTCCCACCTACACCTCGGAGTCCAGTTGGAAAAGTCCTTGATGGAACCAATCAAAATGCGTATAATCTCGATTATATCAATGGTAACCTTAATAAAGAAGCTCAAGCTAGTGCCATTTCCCAGTCTATGGAAATTCCATCTTGGAATGCCAGTATTCCCAAGGGGGCTAATCCTTTTGATTTATCCGGTCCAATATTTGATGGTACAGCCGGTCCCGATTCTGAAACTTCGAGTCCCAACGTTAGTACCAATAGTAAGCGCTATACGGAGAAACGTACTGTGACTATCAAAGTCGAAACCCTGATCAGAGGTATGTTGTTTAAAAGTTGATATTAGGATCATTGCTGATTATCATTTTTTTTATAGAATTGATCGGTATTTCATGCTGCTTGGGTCGTTCCCCTGGATACAGACGAGCCGATATAGATGCTGCGATCATAACTGCAGCAAGAGAAACTGGGTTTGAATGAACTCTAGGGTAGGCTTACTGATGCTGCTCCCGAATTTTTGGGCCGCTATTTTCGCACCTGCTCAAATGTTAGCAATCAACGTAACGCTGGCCAATTTCAAAAAGCACTTCAGGGCGCCTGCCAGTTTCGTCTGGATTATAATTGTCCATATGATCTGGAGGGTTGGTTAGACCGATGTTTACCTGTAATCTTGAGACAACATCTCAATTTTATGAAAATTGCTGTATACACATTGGTAACCATTCATCGCTATCAACCCCCTTGTTCGCACGATTGTCAACATTCTTTATTCATTTACGAAGAATATTCCGATTCACAATGGCCTATCAAAGTCAGTAGATTCTCATTCGTTATGAATTAAGGGCTCAATCATACGTATACTGATTTCTTGTAGAACCTTTTAAAGGGGCTGTCGATAAAGCAATTCCGGATGAGCAGCGAAAGGTAGACGAGCCTACTAACACCGTAAAAGTCGAAAAGGCCAAGAATACGGGCATCAGAGCCGAGATCTATACTATTACTCCAGGTTATTTTAGTCCTCATGCCTCTGCGTCAATTTTCCCGGTGCTTTCTCCTCGATCTACCATGTTTGAATGGCATAAAGAATGTCGAAGAGTACCTACAGCCGTTGACAAGGTGTTAATCGAAGAATACCAGAAGATGCACAGTAAGATTAATCGTTTACAAAAAATCTATTCGAACAATTGAAGCATCTCAAAGATTCAGTACTCCTTGATTGGCAGAGAATAATCTAGACTTTTAAATGCGCGATCGCTTTCAACAAACACGACTGACTCCCTATACAGTCGCCAAAATTCTCAAGGCCCCCCCTAAAGAGATCTGCGTTTACTCCTCAATCATCAATTTTAAATGGGCGATTACAACAAAAGTCTCTAGCACAGAAACACGACACGACATCTGAGAGGAATAGAAATTAATTCGAATTCGGATGGGCTGGCTGCAGTTGAGCCGTCAGTGCGGAGGAAGAGGAAGAGGAAGAGGAAGAGGAAGAGGAAGAGGAAGAGGAAGAAGCGATTTGTGATGGCATTTCAGGGTGGGAATTGAAAGTACCTTCATTTGCGAGCCTTGAACTAAGACCCAAAAAACGTGAGATCGGGGTTAAACAGTTTTCGGTGGATCTTCTGTCGACAATCTCGAAATATTCGGCGGTGCGTGAAGATGGTACTCTGGTTTGGATCTGCAGGTTCAGAGGAAGGTGCTGATGGCTGTTAAATTATGCTTGGATGTGCAAAGGGGAAAGAAGGAAGGAATAAAGGGTCGGTTATTGCTGATCTCTCTTGGAAGGGGAAAGTCGCAAGAGACGGGAGTTGAATGGAAGAGTAATATAAAATATCTCAGCATAGCGAATATAAAATAAGCGAAGTCTATTGAAGGGGTTCGGGCTTGTGAATGTTGGTTCCGAGTTTTTTTTAGCGTGCGTGCTTTTGTACATTATAATACTTTCATGATTTAATCTACGCGGCGTGTTCTTATAGTATCGCATACTCAATCACTCCTGTCGCTTTGTGCTTTTGTAGGAAGTGCAGGAAGTGTAGGAAAATGTTTGTAATGTTTTTAGGGATGATGATGTGATAAATGAATTGATAGGGTTGAGTTTGAGATTTTTGGGTGTTAATGAGTGAGTGGTGGTGGTTGGGCTGGGAGATAATTTTAGAGATTTATGAAGAGTGGTTTGGGAAGGAAAGTGGGTTTTGATATTTGTAGGTGGGTGGTTTGTGGGCTGTGGTTTGATTAGGGTATGGGAGGGAGCGATAGATGAGATTAACCGTGAACGAGATGAACGAGATGACGTTGTTTGCTTGTGTTGGCGTAGATGATGAATGCCGGTGAAATGGGTTGCTGGTTGGTGGCTTCTGGCATTCAAGTCGAGGAGTGATTTCCCCGCAATTATTTAGTAGGTAAGACGGATGGATGGGATCGATGAAATATTTTCGAGCCTAGTAATATAATCATCGTGTTGAATTTTTGACTCAAAGGTGTGAGTATAGCATAGAGGCTACAGTTTCTATGCTAGAATACTAAAATAGAGACTGTTCCTCGAGGCAGTATCCATGGGAAGTTGTAGCTTTGAGGTGGTGTAGAAAGTAAATACTTGAAGTGTTCGAGGAGTTCTTCAAAACCAGAGAACTAACCTCGAGACGTCCTATTGAGGGAGAATCTTGATAATCACTTTAAAGAATCCCTTAGTAGGGTAGGACCTAGAAAATCACGTTTTTATAATGTTGACGTCGAATACTTAGATTGCATTGACTGCACTGTTGCTTGGTGAGACACTGGAAGAGGCCATAATGTTTTGAAGGTTTATCACCGATTCGATCTTAGAACATTGAAAAGAGTTGTTACAAGTTTTTGATCCGGCTTTCGAGAGCTCCTTCTGCATCTTGATATCGTGGTTTCCTCTTTCGTTTGTTTACGGCAACAACAAATGAAGACCAGTAAACAATCTCCTTCATCAAAACATCCTGTCTCACCAGCATCCTCAAGTCGATTAATCATTCTTCCTAATTTGGTTCAGTCATAAATATGTCGTTCAGGGATAGATTGGAAGAATGTGCTTCAAAGTTACACGTGGGGCGAGATGAATCAACGGCGTTCAAGACAGCAATTCTCTTTCTCGATCTTATGGCTGCGCACGAGAATGAGAATTTGACCTATCGAACTCTTGAAGAAGAAGGAAAGATCTTCGATAGAACACCATCTTCGAAAGAGACAGAGATAAAAAAACTCGAGAATTATTTGTGCACTCTCAACTCCAGTTTTCCAAGATACTGGGCAGTCAAGTTGCAACTTACGTACCTTGGACACAAAGATAAGTGTCAGATGGTCCACAAACAACGCGCATTTTTGGAAGGAAACGCTAAATCATCAGACTTGAAGGTGGTTTACAATAGCATCTTGGATAAGTGGCTCAAGAATTGGAAAGCAATTGTATTGGAACTCGATTTGATTACGAGAGATGGCAGTGAGAAAGATTCTTGCAGACTGGCTTTCCGAATAATTGCCAACAACAGAAGACCAGAAGATGTGATTTTCACGGAGAGATTGAAGGATTGTTATCAAATTCGCAGAGTATCAACGAATCAGGGCAACATAGATGGCTCAAAGTTCGCATTTGGCGATATTGATATCGAAGAAGTTGAGTGTATTGCCACAAGAATATGGGGATCAGAAATTAGTCGGCAAGCCGTCCATATTGTTCCATCACGAATAAGCACGACCGAAATGAATTTGATGTTTGTCGTGAGACGGGCAATAAATCCTTTGCTGGGAACATACGATCCCAAGAATGGTTTAATATTGGAAAAACAAATTGCAGACGCTTGGGAGGCATGTCAAATTTGTATTGTGCCATGTTTTGATGAGGACTTGATGTTCAGCACATGGGAATTCCGGGTAATGGACTCGAACCTGTTAAAGTGCAGCCATCTGGAGCTGGGTTGTTTATTCCAGAACATTCATGGATGTACAGCGAAAGTTGGATCTAATCCAAGAATAGACTGCATCCAATTCCACTGGTTTCTTTGTCTGGCTATATCGAAGAATAAGAATTTTGACCAGCAAAGAATTGAAGAGGAATTGATTTATGGCAAGCAAGCTTGGTCAGCAATAGATTCAACGGTTCGAGTGAAACGAGTTTTGATCTCACTTCTAAGTGACGCTGTTGGTCGTGACCTTCCTCTTGAAATAACGAATTGGAGTGCGTATAATAATAGGCTCTCAAATCTACCAGAAATTCAAGAATTGATGTCAAGAATCTGCGATGTACCAGATGCGACGCCGAGATTAGAAGGAGGGGGGAGCGAGCATTAGTGGCTATTAGTATATTTAATATCAGAGGTGAAGTGGAAAGTTCATGCCAACGAAGTAAATAGTGCAATTCCAACATGAAATAATCAAGCACGGCGTTTTCAAAGTCTTCGTGATCCAAGTGTTCGAAATCCGGTTGAATGATAGTCCGCATTATCAAACACATTATCCAGGTTCTACTTGTAGACGTTTCACTCAACTAAACAATTAGATATTCACTGGCAAGCCTATCTCAATTGCGCCTGTTACGAAAATCACAATTGGAGTGGTAGTCTCTGGAATTCTCTCTAGCCTGGACTCCTCGGAAGGAACATTCTGGATGTGGTGGGGAATATCTTTGAAACCCCTGAGTTCTCGCTAATCATATCGTCTAGACTAGACTCCACATTTTCAGAGGATAGAATTTTTACGTGCAATTAGTGAGATTGAGATTCAATGAATATATGGGTTAAGTGAATTATAGTTAACACGGCTTGAAAAATTGACTGATAGAAAATGCAGTGTTTTCCACAGTCTGATATTATCGATTTCATAAATCAATTGTTTTGAATCAATTTGATAACTAAAATTTATTCAATATTTAAGAGAGATTCATCAATCGAGAGGAATTCAAAATTCCAAAGTTCTTGATTGTTGGGCTGCAGTCTGGACTTTCGGGTACCCTAGGAAAATAGAATGAATGAGAATTATAAACTTAGATACTGCAGAAGGAAAATAGTGCTCGTATATAAAGCTTTAACAAACACTTCCCAGCTCAGAATTAAAAGCCGTTTACCAGGCCGAGCTCCGCTGCTCCATAGTCTACTCTTGAAGAAAGGGCAGACTAAAGCACCCTCCATGCTTTGCTGACATGTGGTCGTAGCACAGCTTTGAGTATTCAAATGACTCCAAACACACCCAACAAAGATGTGCACCACATTTGCACTCGATGTGGTTACACCCATCCGTCTTCTCAATAGATGTCTTGCATTTGGGACAACTCTTGATCCCGATCTTTTCCATCATTTTGAGTGTCGCTTCATACTTTCCAGAAGACTCGTATTCATACTCCGCGCACGTTTTGTTGTCGTGCTGATGGTGACAATATGTACATATTACCGTGCAGCACTCCGTGCAGGTATTGAAATGCATAGTATCTGTGACTCGATAGATAGTATCGCAATTGGGCTTTGGACAATAACGGAATGTCTGCGGATTTCGCTGGATATGAGATGAGAAAGAGGCCTCGAGGATATCTTCAAATGCTTTAGAGGAGAGGATTTCTTGTAGTTCTTCAAGGCTGAAGCTGACTTGACATCTTCCCATGTCCCCGTGGCAGTTTATTGAGAAAGTCTTTCCGTTGGAACTTGCGGCGCTGCAGGAAAGTTCGAAACACTCGATGCAATATACATGATTGCATTTGGTGAGGATTGGATTATCTGCTGTTCCCCAGCATACAACGCAATCTTCTTTGGCGGTAACTGATTCAGATTGTGGCTTGGATTCTTTCTTGCCGATCATTTTCAACGCTGTTTCGTATTCCTTTTCGGTGCCTGCGATCAAGATCCTCCGTGGCCTCGAGACAATGTCGAATGTGGCAATATTATCTCCAAGTGCAGTAGCAATCATTCTGAAGCCACCATTACATGCCCATCGGAAGTCTTCAGGTTTCAATTCAATTATATGAGCAGTGTAAGATGCGTTACCAATAATTGTCGTGATGATTGATTCCACTTCCTTGCAATTTTCTTCGGGGCCATACAGCTTTATTTCTTGTTTTCTCTTGTTACGGAGGATGATAACTCCGTGGTCTTGCTGAATCCTTTTGAATTTCTGAAAAACGGTTCCATTGCCCATCAAAGAAGATGTCCACAAAGGCTTGTCACCATCCATCACTGTGATCCCGTCTAATATCCCATTTAACGCTTCTTTCGCGGCAGCGACATCTTTCGAAGCCTCGCCTTCAATCTTTAAAACTCTGTATTGCTGTTTAAGACCGGCGCTGGGATAGATCTTAAATTTCAGATGCTGCTCGTTCCAAATTTGGCTGACAGTACGGATTCGACTTTGAATGGCATTGAAGATCGAGCTTGCAACTTTGAATTTTGCGGTACTGATAAGCTGGACGGTCAAGGTCAAGGCTTTACAAAATGGTAGAGGCATGTCTTGCAACGAAGTAACTGCCGCTCTTGCATCGGACTCCTCGTAATATCTAGCAACAGCTTTTGCTGTTTTTGCCCGGGGGGGGTCAGTAATAGTTTATATAAGAGATAGGTAGTTTAAGGAAATAAGAAGCGGGGTGTTCAATAGTCCGGACTGCAGTCCAACAATAAAGGTTATCAAATCTTCAAAGCAATTGAAATATTCGAATCATTTGAGGTATTGAACCATTTTAAGGTTCTAACTGCTTTTGGATATTCCAAACCTTGCATTTTTGGACCGCAGTCTGGACTATTAGATACCCTAATAAGAGGCTTGATGGATTCCAGGAAATTTGAAACCTATGAAAGATAGCTAGGAATTGAAACTAACCTCTTTTGCCTTCCAGTTCTGTACTGATTTGGCTCCATTCAATAGGACCAACCCCAAGTAATAGAGACATTACAATTGCACTAGCCTCTTCTCCTTCCACGTCATAGTTAACCTCTCCAATTTCTATTCTTTGTGGTATGTGATGTGGCAAGGTGATATAAGTGGGGATGTCTTTCTGCGTGGTCATGGCAGGCAGATTTGGGAGCATAACCGTCCAAGTCAGTGGACCGAGTAGCGACGCCATCCGCCCAGTCGGTGGTTGAGATCGGATTGTTTGACCCAGCACCTTAAAAGATTTAGAATTGATTCTCTCGGAAACTTTTTCGGCAACGTTTTCACTTCGAAAGTGCAGCCACACCGTCCTAGAGGGTTTGAACCAAGAGCATTGAATCTTTTTGCATTCGATTTGGTGAGAATTTGTGCCGGATTGAAGACCTGCAGATACATGGGAAGCTTTCATGTTTGGATATTTGGTTTTTAAAAAGGTCTTCTCGTTGAGTTTTGAGCAAAATCCCTTTGCAAAAGTAGGATCATCCACCTTGACATCTGCGGATGCCGTGTCATCATACCTTCGTATCCGCACACACTCGGGCATAAGATGTACTCCTTTCTTTCTCAAAAGTGAAACGAAGGATTCTGCAGTGACATCTAATGGCAATCCGTCGATTCGAGCGGCAGAAAAGTCCGTTGGTAGCGAGATCTTAGATACTTGTGCGCCAACGTCAAATTTGGCCAATGCGCCTCCGAAATCTCTTGTGAAGTTGTCATAATTTTGTTTTCCCTATCGTACGTCAACTTAGAAGATAGACTGAATTTCGCACTAGAAAAACAAACCTCAGGGTCTAAGTCCGCTTCTGCTGCCTTTTCTTTTTGTTTCTCTGCAGTGTGCGAATAGGGACATGCACTCCCATTTCGACAATTACCTCGAGAGTGATGGTAGCATGGGATCTGAGAGCGAGGATCTTGTGTTGAATGTGAAGTTGCAACTTCAGATGGTTTTTTCGCAGAAATGGAAACTTGAGGTATAATAGTAGTCTTTTCGTGAGAATAACGACAATCTTCTCCTCTCATACAATATCCACTGGCAAAGAACTTGCACGGCGCGGGGGAAGCCATCTTTCAATTAGTATGTTGACGATTTTTTGTGATCTAAAGTTGTGTAGTTATTATAGAAACAATTACCCCTCATTCTTATTGTGATCACCCCATGTATACATGCTAGCAGACCTAAGCGCCCAATGGATATAATTTGGTAACGTCTGCTGTGGCTGTAATTTCCAAATTGGGCGTCGCAATTGAATGTAACATGTATTCTGACCATTTAGAAGAAGCTTGTTGATTTTCTATGAAGTGTCAACTGCTTCGGTCTTCCGATTGGTTAGGAAGTATGTGTAAGTGAGGCACAGCATGTCGTCGTCATACGACCAACCGTTTTGATACTGCAGCGAGATAGTACTCGAGCCATCAAAATTAAATAACAAAAAAAAGTGAAAGATATTATAATTAAAAGATTCACTTTAAACAACAAATGTTTAGTTCTAAGTCATTATATATGTTACCAGCAAGTTATGATTATCTTGATTTGAAATTGTTGTTGCTTCTTTTTAGTTGCCCTACAAGCTGTTCTACAGCCGAATGCGAACCTAAAAATGTCAAAGGGGATGTCGATAAATTGGGAATCCATCACCATGTAGCTGACATAACGTTGGATGAGTGACCAAATGGAAGTAAAAGTAAATAGAAAAGTAAATACAACTGACACTTTTACTAATAGAATGAAATGGAGTTTGATAACTTGCGATGTCTTAGGTTCTTTGAGGATGTTTTGCCAGACAGCCAAATGCTTGATAGTATTTGTCAGTCGAGTAAACACTCCAATACAAATCAAATACCCCTCATAATTCACCGCTTCAACAGCCCAGCAATCAAGAATCATTCGATAGATTGGTTAAAAATGATTCTATGCATGGCCGTAGACTATTATAGTTTGCAACGTCAGAGGCAGTTGGTAATAGGATAACTAGGGCTATTTTTGATTAGTTCCGTAAGCAGCAAACGTTTGTATTACATTCAGCGTTTGTTTCTATTTCTTGCTCCTTTCTGTAGCTACCTTTCTATCGCAAAAATTTGCCAATATACATCGGAGTAAGAGCCTTGTTGCTGAAAAGCTCAGTCAACACAATAGAGAACTTAGTTGATGTGATTTATGGTCACAGGCTACTGGCCGTCTCACTCACTGCAGTCGTATACGTCTGTTTTCTTCTGCACATAGGTGACTGTGCAAGACATTGACTAGATCATGTAGTTGTTTGCGGAAGCCATCTACAATATTTACTTTCATCCATTGGCCGATGTGCCAGGTTCATTCTGGTGCAAAGTCTCGGGCTGGCCTTCTTGCTATCAAGCATCGACCGGGTATCGTCACATTTGGATTTGGCAAAATCACGAGATTCACGGTCAGTTGAGACATGATCCTTACTCATCGCCATCTACTGATCAGTACAAGGTGACAGATTTCGTTACCGACCAGACGGAGTCTTGATAGCCACCCCCAAGGGATACCGTGAAATTTACAATCCCAAGGCGAATGTGAAAAAGGCCGAGTGGTATGAGATCTGGCGGAGGAACAATGAAGACTATAATGCGTTGAATACGACCGACCCTCACAAACATATGGTGCTGCGAAAGCCCTTAAACAGCGCCTTCTCAGAAAAATCACTGCGTTCGTCAGAACCCTTCATTATCAAAAATGTTGACCGCTGGATTGAGATCATGCTAGATGGTGAAAAAACTAAAGGCAAAACTGAATGGACGACGCCGAAGAATCTAGGCGGTGAATGGGTTGATTACCTTGTTTTTGATATACTGGGCGATTTATGTTTTGGGAAGTCTTTTGAGACAATGGAAATCAAGGAAAACCCACTTCGTCAGATTCCACATATCATTGGCGAATATTTGCAATTCATGTATCCGGTAAAAGAATATCAAAACCGAAAAAAGGCGACACTAATCTATTCGTTCCGCAGATTTCGAACTCGCCCTTTCTTAACGCATGGGTTTGGCTCAAGCCTCGCGGCATTGATAAATTACTTGCGATGATTACTCCGAAGCCTGTGATTGACTTCTATAAGTTTCTAGAGAAATGCGTTGAAGAGCGTGAGAAGCAAGAGCAAAGCATGGAGAAGAACAGCACAAAGAATGAACGGAAAGATATGTTCCACTACTTGTTCCAGGCCAAAGACTCTGAGACTGGCGCTCCCGCCTTCAATCACACCGAGCTTGTAGCGACAGCCAATCTTCTGGGAACAGCTGGCTTAGATACTACTACCACTGCTATTTGCAGCGCTTTTTTCTACTTAACACGAAACCTGCATGTTTACAAAAAGCTTGCGAAAGAGATACGAGATACCTTTCCTTCTGCCGAAGACATCTGCTCCGGTGTGACTCTTTCTAATTGCAAGTATCTGCAAGCCTCTTGTCTTGAGGCTATGCGAATGTCACCAAATGGACCACCAGAGCTTCTACGCCAAGTCCTTCCCGGTGGTATTGAAATCGGCGGTCACTGGTATCCAGAAAACACTCTTATAGGTGTCCCTAGCTACTCGTTATACTACCATCAGGAGACATTCAAAGATCCATTCGTCTTTCGACCTGAGCGCTGGATACCAAACGACGAACTAGGCATTTCTGCAGAGCATGTTGCTGCTCTCCAAGAATCATTCAAACCTTTTTCAATCGGTCCTGGTCAATGTCCCGGCAAGAACATTGCATTGCTTGAGATGTACATGACTTTGGCTCGGACTATTCATAGTTGCGATGTTCGTCGACCACTTGATGATACATCAAATCGTGGAGCTGGCAAACCTGAAAATATTTGGGGTCGGAGAAATAAAAATCAGTATCAAGTTGTAGACGCCTTTCTTGCTCTGAGAAATGGGCCGGTAATTCAGCTTCGTCGAAGAGTAAACTAATGAGCGAGTCGGAGTTCATTTCGGGATGATTCAGTTGGTTAATGCACGCAATGCATCGAGACAATCAGGACATGTAGTAGATGCACGGATAAGGCGTTCCGGATTGAAGCCGAAAATGGTCTACGGGAAATGCAAAACTAGGGAAGGTTAAAGTAACTGTGAGCTCTTGCACCGGCGCAGCACTTGATGGTTGCATACATTTCGCCAGAAATAATATTACAGCAGTAAAACCCCACACTTTTTCGATAGGGACAAACCTTTTGCGAGAAAGGTTGTGAGTGGTGGAATATGAGAGATTATGCTGACGGTGACCACGCGTGCTTACTATTGAATTAAACTAAACAAGATTCCAACAGTTGTTTTTTTCCAATACTAGGTACTCATCGCAATATTTATTTCTAAGCTAACTGTATTTGGTTCTAGGCTCACTCGCTTCAGATTGTTAAAGCGGGAATGACAGGGGTAGCGGCAACGACAAGAATAATGATCGATAGCATCCTAATACTGGTATCAATTGATTGGCTCGACGCCTTACCGCATCAATAAGCATAGGCTCAAGCTCACCGGGGTGAGCTCATTCGGTACCCAATCGTACGTTAAATTCTGCCGTTTTCATTTGGGTATAGCGCGAATATACCATTATTTACAACAAGTTGGTGCAGCAGAATTCAAAGGAAACCAACCTAAATTATCGTCCATACGGTCATTACTGTGTCTCGCTCATCTATTAGCCTGCGCCAGCTTCTATACCTCAACATGGCACCAGATGATGATAAAGAAGCTGTGAAAAAGCTTATGAGCTGGACACAAAAAGTTCAGAAAGGACAAGGGCCATCTCTTTTATACTCCAATATCACAGCAACAAGCCATCTCAACGGCTGACCAGCCAGCTAATGGTCCAGTTTGGGCCAGCAGGACAATTCTGCCAGCTCCGAAGGATGATTCCATTGTCACTGCTACCACTGAGGCAATTTGTGATCTTGGTGATGGATCTTGCGCGGACTTAGTTGCTACTTTAGCTGATGTCCAAGTACAGTGGAGCGGGTTTCGATCTGGAGTTGGTGGACGCGATCAGTGTAGGCAATAGTATTTCCCATATTTCGTATACGGGCTAGTTTAGTGGTGCGTATCGATTTTTTTCGAAATATGTACGTACGTGATATTGAATTCGATACCACTGAAGATATTCAATATTATTTAAACTTTTAATATTACTAGCAATATACTGAAGTACTGGAATTCGATGTAAAATATGTATTCCTATTTATATTAGGTAATAAAATTCCATTCCTTATTCCAAATCGAATTAAGATCCCTTATTTCTAGTCTAATTTGGCATGGAATAGATAATTTATATTGGATTTCAGTATTTCAGTATATTGCTAGTATTCTTTAGATATATAAATATATACAAGAGTGGTATAACCTCCTTTGGTATTAGCTGCAATATCAATATGTTAATACGCGCCACAGTTTTACTGTAGTATACTATTGCCTACACTGGACGCGATAAAGAGCCGAACATGAGTGAGTAAGATGAGTACAAAGGTCTTATGAAAGATACACGATCTAAAATGACCATTCTATACGCTCATGGGGGCCTCAACTAGTAAGCTCAGTCACACTCAGAGAATATGTGTGAATGTTAACCTTTGATTATTCAGCTCCGGAGGACCAGCTTCTGTACGTGCAGTTACATCAGCTCTAGCAAAACTTACCAAAGGCCGCTGTCTTGTTCTCGAACAAAGACTGGCTCCTCAGAACCCTTTTCCCGCACCTTTAGTCGACCTTTTGGTAGCGTACCTATCACTTCTCTATCCACCTAAGGATTCTTTTCACGAAGCAACCACCCCTGAGAATATCGTCATCGCTGGAGAAAGTAGCGGAGGTAACCTATGTCTTACTTTTCTCCTCTTGCTTCAACATTTCCAACAGAGAAAACCCCGCATCAACTTCGATGGCCAATGTGTTTCGATCCCAAATCCTGCAGGTTTTGCGACCTTCTGTGCTCAAGTTGATGCCACGATGTCTTTGTATGTGCCTTTATTTTCATTGTTCAATTCCGCGGAGACATGCAAGCTAATCTAGCGAGTTAAACTAGCTCATCATAAGCGCGGAATAAAGAATATGATTTCATAGACGACATTCATCCAACACTTAGCGATATTATAACGCCGGATTCTATCTGGCCTAGTACGCCTCCGAGATCACATATTTACTCACCTACGACGAACCTAATAACACATCCTTTGGTTAGCCCCGTTTCCTCCAAGTCATGGCCTTCCATAAAGTCACCGCCGTTGTTTTTTGCCTATGGCCAAGAGCGCATGGTAGAAGAAGGAAGGTTCACGGCAAAGCAAGCTTTCAAAGCTGGTGCTTCAGTAAAATTCCACCAATACAACGCACTTACTCACATCTTTGTCTTTATCGTACAATTAGCTCAGACAGCTCACCTCTTTACTCAATGGGCGCAGTTCTGTCGAATGTGTGTTGAAGAGCCTCAAAACGTAGATTCCAGTCGATATTATATTCAAAAACCTGTCGCGGGTACACCTGGTTTCAAGATTATCCTCCGTGATATTGGTGACGGGAAGGAATTCACGGATTTGGAGTATGAAGAGGTGCTCAAATTGATGGATGAAAATGAAATGAACATGAAGGTTTGGAACGGACTGAAAACGAAGTCATCGTTGTAAATTGGATAGAAGTTTCGATCATCATTCTCATTTGTCGTTGGCCTATTGATCAATGTATTCAAAATCTGATAATCCATGAAAGTGGAATATAACCATGATTCTTCGAAACACTTCGGATTCTTTGCCAGGTTCAACATTCAATCGTTTTATTGAATGGTTAGAGCATCAATTGGAGCTGCCAAGATAACATGCGATGAGACATATGTAAATGTGAACCACACCAGTCTTGGACCCCAATTATGTTCACGACCTGCTCTGTATTTGCCCGATGGCAACCAATGGAAATCTTTATCAATCCTGGTATGATGAATTCATTCACCTATCAGGATTTTATAGTCCCGATGGGAGCTTATAGATAAGTGGCTACGAAGCAATTTATCCGATTTTGAACAGCAAAAGGTTCAATTGATGCTGATTGGGCGAATTCTGCATTGCCGCCGGGAGCTTTAACTTATGTATGGAAGTATGGGAGTTATAAACGGGCACCTAAAAGTTGAGTAGTGTGTGTGTGTGTGTGTGTGTGTGTGTGTGTTGAAATCGGGCAATCCCTCGCTGGTTATATGAGTTGATAGAGGATTCAATATAACGATGTTACTGTTATGAAGCTTGCAAAAGCGTTCCCATATCGTTTCCCCCTAGAAACTATTACTATTTAAGGAGTGGATAAATGATTGAGATCATTTGGTAGACTCGTAGTTGGTCATATTCTCATTTCAGACTGATTATCAATATACTCAAGATGCCCAATCTGGGATCCCGTTACCCCTGCCGTTTCTGCCTTTACTTTTGACTCGTTTTGGTGGCCTTCTTTATTTTTCCATTCGAATTCTTATCATCTCCTGAAGATTCTGATGTCCCGGGACATTTCCATGCTCGAATACATCTTTTATAACGGCAGACACGCAATGATGATATGGGTAGGTATCGTTTTCATCCCACACTTCATCGTCGTGTCTCCCCTTCGTAGAGTGGCCGAAAGAAAATCCCCTCTGGTCATGCTCTGCTATCGATCTCAGTAGGTTTGGTATCGCATTTGGTAATCCTCCGATAAATTTGGCAAACTCATCAGAATTCTTCATGCAACAAGCATACGGGTTAGCGCCGTGCTCAAGCATCAGTTCGAAAACTCTAACCCACTTCATGGAGAGTGATGAGATCTCCGAATTGTCCTTGGATACAAGAACGTGAACCAGATAAATGACATATTCCCAGATTGTATAAAAGCTATTGACATGCTCATTTGGGTCAGCGCCATGAATAAGTAGTTCCTCAAGTACGACAATATCGGGAACTAGGTCACCGAGTGCCCATCCATCCATAGACAGTGCATAAGCTAAAAGAGGCAGCCCTGTTCTGGTTTTGACTGATATATGTGGTAAAGGTAATTGAGGTTGGCTTGTATAACGCGCGACGGATGTCAGGCTTTTTCGAGCTTTGAGAAGCATTATGAGACCATATTTGACAGCAGCAGAATCAAGATCATCACCCCAGTCAGGTCGGTTTCTTCCTGCCCATTTTGGATCTTTTTGTGACCAGTGTCTAGACAATCTTCGGTCTGCTTGCATGCTCAAAACCCTGTCAGCTTCTTGTACCAGTTCGAGAGCCTCTTCCATGACCTTCGGGTTCTGCCAAGGAATTTCACGGAGTTGACTCAACAATTCTACCCCACTAGTGTATACACAATCTTTAGGATCGAGCTTGATATCAATCACACGGGCCATCAATAATGCTAGCTCGGGGTCGAAGGTGGTATCAATTGTATGTTTTGTGATCTCGTCCCAGTTCCTGGATCGTTCCAAAAAATCCACTGCCGTGCGGTGGAGATAGACTATCCTTCCTTTTGCCCCAAAATCTTGTAATTTTAGTATCGAAGAGCTGTGTAATGAAGATTCCTCTTCTACCGAAGAGCTCTCTTGTACCGAAGAGAGCTGTTCGGTGCGGATAGTATGGTACCAGTCTGAGAGATTTCCTCCCCATTGCACATGCAGCCACAGTGCATAAGGATGTATAACATCCTCTAAGGTTATCATCTTCGCTCTGAATTCCTTTTGGAAACGCTCCACATCAACACGATATCTAATTTTCCGCATGTAGCATCTCGCCCTGGTATGTGTCTCAACGAATTTTCGACAGGCGCGACTCCTTATGGAACCAAGCAGCGCCGACATCTGATCATTTGATAATCGTATACGCAGATCTCCTTCGCGTCCGTATACAAGTGAATAACAGGCATTCATTGCTGCAACCTTCTCCGTCGTCCGTTCTAACCACAATGGTACCTGAAGAGTTGGGTCTACCACTACTGCTACCCGTATCAGGTTACCGGCACTATCTATCCTTGGGTCTTCTATTTCCCTCGCCAACTGCCTCGCTGCTCTTGGTTCGCTTGCCAAAGTTCCGCTAGGAGCTGGAAAAAAGTTTTTGGCCGAAATTTGGATGTGATTCCTAAACTCCTCAACAATATTAACATCAGAATCGTATGTGTTAAATATCTGTTTGTTATCTCTCACACCACTCTCATTGGAAGCAATGCGGATTATCATTTCGCCATCATGCTCGTCCGCTATCTCAATGAGTCCACGACATCTACTGGCAAGGCGCAATCTTGTTTTATTGATCTTCATGAGCCTTTCTTCCATGGACTCACTTTCTGTTGCAGCCTCCATAGATATGATGGGATGGTGTGAAGTATACTGTAATGCATTATGTAGAGTGATCGAGTCCAAGTTATTCCCGCATGTTCTAAATATTTGAAAAATCTTCGATGCATCTTGACGAAACTCCGGTTCTATTCCTTGGATGATATGAGAAAACAAATTCTCAAGATCTACTGGCAGGCTTTCAAGTCGTTTCCGAAGTTCAATTCCACCATCTCCACACCTGAACCCATGGATGAGCGATTTGACGACGAGAATAACCCATAGAAAGACACCCTGTGCTCGGTGAATGATTTCTTCAATTAGCCAACTTGTTGTACCCAAATCATTACTTATAAACATTCGCATCAGTTGATTTTGCTCCAGCTTAGCAACAACATAGTCATTGATGTCATCACGAGTGAGATCTTCTAGCTTCAATGTGCAAGCATCTTGAAAGACTGACAAGAAGTCTGGCAACGGCCTGCTCGAAATGCAAAACTTCGTGAAGGGGAATTCGTTGGCAAGGTCGAATAGGTACTCTGCCATATCGCCATGATCCCCTTCGTACTCGTCTAAGCCATCAACAAAGATGCAGACTTTGAGTGAAGGGCTGGACATGCCGACAAGTCTTTTGAACGCTTGCTGTAAGCGGCCTAGAGACCATTCATCAATTTGGAATTCCAGGTCATGTGATTCCAAGTCGCACATCCGCACCCATTCCTCGTGAAATATCTCTAGAATGAGATTCTCATCTTCTCGGAGAAGACCATGTAGAAGTGCGCGTAGGAGTCCGATCTGAGAACGTTGTCTTTCCGTCCCACTTAACCAGAAATAAAACGCACTTGTTATTATCTTAGAGGATCCTGCCCATTTTCTCAACAAGAGTTCGGTTTGTAGGTGCTCATATATGAAACGCATCAGAGTCGATTTGCCACTTGCTGGTTTGCCCTGTATCCAATAGATGCCCGAACATTCAGAAAGCCAAGTTGCGAAATTACTCCATGGTTTTTGGTGGACAGTAGAGTCTCTGAAGATCCAATGGAAGCTGTTTTGATATGGACTAGCTATCATATCTTGTCGATGATTCATGTCCGAAAATCGAAGGGACTCTAAGATAACAATTTTGAATTTTTGAGCACGCCGAACTCGCTGTCTACTATCACGTTCCACTAGCTCAGCGGCAGCCTGGCGGTTCTGTTCCACCAATTGTCTAGATAGAATCAAGTTCTCATTGCAGTAGACCCTTGATTCAAGTAACAAATCGATGATATCTTTGGTGTCTTTATTCAGAGACTCAAAGCTAGAATTCTGCTTAGCGGTCAATAGGCCAAGTTTTTGAAACTCCGATTGCTGAGAAAAACTCAGTCGTTCAAAACGACGAAGGAATTCCTGATCTGACGATTGCATCTTGAGAAGCTCATTCAAAACCTTCTTCGTATTTTCGTCCAATTTTTGGAAATGGTTCTCTGCTGCAGATGACATTGAATCTGAACCATCTCTAGAGACACAATCAATTTATTGTTCGGCAGCATTTTGAGGGCAAAATAGGTACTGACCGCAATAGCAAAAGTAACTCAGTGTCGAGCTCTTTTCTGAGATCTCTCAATCTTAGAGCAAATTCATCAATGTCATCTTTCGACCAAACACTCTTCAATGCCATTCGAAAGCTTTTCCATTTTGGATGTTGTGATCGGGCAGGTGCTTTCAATTGATTGAGCTGGTTGATAAGAGTATCAGACACAAGAAAGCATTCTTGAGTGATTATCTGAAGTCTGGAGTGAACGATGCTGGATCCAGAGTTGGTTCTTTTTGGTGGTAAACGTATTGATTGGGCCAGTTCTTTAAGCCGCAAGGTGGCTGTTTCGGTTCTGTCATGTTCTGTAGTGAGACCGCTGGTGGAGCTGTATATTTCTTTGCTCTTGCACACAATCTTGCAAGAATAGTCGATAAACTGAGCAATTGCCGCTGCAAGCGATATGGCGCTCACCGGGTCCATAATCAATCGTTGCTTGAATGAGAGTATATGAAAATAAGGGACCTCACGTTCGCGGATATCTTTTCCTAGGAATTCGAACGTAAAGAACAAAATACATGGAGTGTCAATAAATTAATTTGATAGTCTTGCCAGATTTTATCGAATGCGCTCCGTCAGATAGGGCAGTCTGCCTGGCAGACTCTGCCAGAGTGCTGCTAAGCCTCATGTCACTACCTACCGTACAGGGGATGTTATCCAATAATGCAAAGATAATGCAAAGTGGCTTAGAATCTGGTCGGTATGTTTCGACATGATTGCTTCGTTACATACAGATCATATGATCGATTCCCTATCAGCAATGTAGTTACTTTCAAGGTTATTGAGGTATTCATGTAGGATGCAGAACCATGTCCTGAGATTTAATTTGAAGAATGAAAAGCAATGACTTCTTCATGATTTCTCTATCCATGGTTTTCAAGCTTCAGCACGGCAGAATCATCTGAATCATAAAAGAAAGAGGAAGAGGGGGAAATGTAAAGGAAAGGAAATGATGTCGTGTGTTGTTTTTGTCCATTCTCGCCAGTTCTTAGGAATTTAAGAAAGTGCGAATGCTTAGTAATCAAATCAACGTAGTGGTCAATCGTTCATCACGTGGAGTGGAGTGAGTTATTAAGAACACTACCTAACTAAGCAAAATAGATCTAATAACTCAAGGTTTCGATTGAAAGAAGAAGATGTTAACTTAAAAGCAGAGAAAAAGAGAAAGAGGAACGAAAATACACGATTGAATTGACTTGAAGATTTTTTTATCGTTATTTTTGAGTTGAGGTTGTTAGGAATCGTCTTCTAAAATTGCAGTATCTCTTTATATGACATTAGGGACATGAATACTAACAATATCTTTTAGATATAAGATTAATCTTCAGAATCATTTATATCCTACCATTATATGATTGGCCTAACTATCAAGCCCTCTACGCTTATTGATTGTATTAATCTTTCTAACCTATATCTTTTCAAGATAATATCAGACATGAGAAACGAGAAATGATAACACTCCGAACTCCTCGTGTTGTATTGTATAAATATGAACAGAAGTATGACTATCTAGGTAGTTATAAGTAAGTAATTATGTATTTCCATCCGTTCCCCTACCTGGAATCCCATGATACTCACCTCCTCATTTCTCAATAGATTTCTCTCCCTTACTATTCCCTATGCTTTTTCCTTTTACACGCTCCCGCTCTTTTCATTCTCCAACCATCCCGCACCCATCCAAACACCCCCACCCTCTCTTTCCCTTACCCTCTCCTTCCCCCTCCCTCCCTCTCCCTTCTCTTTCTTTCTCACTTTCTTACAAAGTCTCTCCTCTTCTTACCCTCCCTTTCTCGCAAAATCTCCCCTCCCCCTTCTCTCAGAATCGTTATTCGTAAAACAAAGGAAAGGCCCCTGCTATATAGAAGCATATTCTCCGCAACCACAAGTACCCCAAAGACCCTCTCCTCGAGCTCCAGAAAAAGTCCTTCCCAAGATCAATCTTCTAGCGATGAGGCTCAAAAATGACATAAATGGAGAACAGGAGTTATAGAACAATGATGGTTGGGAAGATGAAGAGAGTCGGGCACTTCCCACCATCTACTGGATGTGAATTGTCCAACTCGACACATTCTCTTTTATCGCTCAAGCAGAATACTAAGCTTTGATACGAATAGCCGAGAAGTAATGAAAATCTACATCTTCGGATGCAAGAGTCTCATTGACCTCTACACACAACCTCCTGCGAAGCGTAATCGCCAAGAAAATGTAAATTTAGCACTTATTATCTACATAGGTATTCAGAGAAGAAAGAAGGAACAACCACTTCCGAGAAACAATTACTTTCCCAGTACCAAAGTTCACCGGGATACAAAAATGAATGCCATATCACAGAATCGATATAATCTTATGGTAATCTTCCCCATTCCCGCTAAACACTACGCACACCTAGTATCAACTCCTATTATCTCCCTTAATATTATTACTTCACTTGAAATTATTAACATTCTCAATGCCATCCACGAAGAACCTAGCCCCTTATAAATTTACACAAAGTGCTCGACATTTCACTTATAACCTCATGGATTTCTCATTCGCATTCCTATCCTGATCATCTTAATCCATGGGCCTAGCATGCGATCCAACCATACCATCCAACCATGCAACACTGCCAGCCGCCTATCATTATCAATTTGTAGAGAAAAACAAATAAGACAAATGAATAAATAAATAAAACAAACCTATCTCTTACTCACGCATATCCTATTTATCAGCTCTATCAAGTCTGTTCAGTTCCTGTTGATAGTATACCTACCTGGTGTAGAATTTTCAAATAAGGACGATGTATGAGTATAAGTATGAGGATGAGAAAATATTTATATTTTCATACCCATCTTATTCCTCAGTTCAAATCATATGATTCTGTTTATCTTTCAACGCTACATGAATCTACTTTCGTATTTCCTTTCCATCTCCTCTTTTTCCTTCTATATCCAGGTCCTCCCACCCTCCTTCTTACTCCCATTTCACTCGCTCCCTTCCCCACAAACCCTCCCCATCTCCCTCTATCTCTTTCTCCCCCCTTAAACCCAGTGAATGCACACATCCACACACCCCAAAATAGAAAATCCAAAAATAGATCTCGCCAACCCATTCACCTATTTTTCTTCTCACTCGCTTATTCACTCCCGCCCTACCCAGTCACCCACCCATTCACACACACTCCTTCAAACCAACCCTCCCTATCATACCTGAAACACCTACCAGTTCCCTCCAAAAGTGAATCTCTCTCTCTCTCGCTCTCTCTTAACCACCAGGACATACATACATTCATGAATCTAAAAATAGATATCCATTTTATTCACATACACGCCTACCCATCTATCTATCCATACATCTATCTATCCATACACCTATCTCACTACAAGACAGATACTCCATAACCACATGACCACAACCAACTCGATCCAAGCCTGAATCCACCTCAATACCTCCAAATCTTCCTACCTCTCTCTAAAAACTAACCGTCGAATCTCGATATTCCAGCCCCATCCCAGTCCCATCCCAAACCCATTCAAATCACAAACCCATTCAAATCCAAATCCAAATTCACATCCACCTCATGACCCACTCCCCCTCCCCCCCGTCTTCTAAGCATCTTCCCCCTCACTAGTTCATTAGTTCATTAGTTCATTAGTTCATTAATTCACAATCACATGCCCAATCATGCCCCCAACTCACATTCACAACCCCAATCCCAAATCCAATCTCAATCCTGATTCCAAATGCAAATTTTGATCCCAAATCACATTCACGTTCACATTCACAATCACAATCATAACTCGTAATTCTAACCCCTGATTCCAATCTCAATCCCAATCCCAATCCCAATCACAATTGCTAATCCAAATCACGTTCTCAATAACAAGTCCCGAATCACAACCCCTTTCCGTTTTTTTCCCTTTCCCTCCCCCTCTCCCTTCCCCTTCCCTCACAATTCCCGAATTGCAGCTCCTCTCCCCCTTCCCCACATCACCTATTATCCCACAGTATCACTCTCTCATTTCGGTTTCTATTACCTTACTTCCTCTCCACCAACTACCTCTCTTCTCTACGTTTCCCTTCTCTATATGTCCCTTCTCTACACTCCATCTCCCTCCACCAAGTACACCAATCCTCCAGATCTCTACCTCTTCTCTCACGAGAACTGTTCAATACAGTACGTAGATATCTTATACCTCATACCTCATACTTCATATCTACCCATCCATCCATCCAAATAGCTATAACAAAATCGCCTTCCCTCCTCCTTCCTCATAGACGGATAGCCGAACCATATATCAAGAATAGAAACATATATACATTACCTCCCTATCTCTCATTCCACCTACCTACCAACAGACAAAGTAACCCATAACCCATAACCCATAACCCATAACCCATAACCCATAACCCATAACCCATAACCCACAACCTATAACTCACAACTCATAACCCACAACCTACCAACCCACCTAACTCTAAACAAACAACCATCCCCAACATCCTTCCTTTCCCTAATAAATGAATCAATAAATCAATCAATGCACATCCAAATGACCTGAATGAAACCAACCGAATTGACCTACCTACCTAGCAAACGAAACGAAACGAAACGACGCATCGCCTTCTTCCCTACGTGTGTATAAGTAATGTAATATTAGTAAGGGAAAGGAAAGAGAGAGAATTAGACAGACGGACAGCGAACCAGGTATCACAAAGTAGGTATCGAGCAAATAAAAGGAACACATATATCACATACACATATCACAGACATATACACATCACTACATCACACACGTATACATATACATCACATAATCAATCAAGCAAATAAAGTTGATGGAGAAACAAATAGATTCTTCCTCGTCGATAATAAAACTAACCAACACAACACAACGTTTGGGTCACACACACAATTTGAATCAATTAGGATTCAAACGGGAGACTCACCAAAAAACAACTTCCCCAATAACAAGCCAATCCAACCAAGGAAAAAAGAATGAGAAAAACGATAAAAATGTATCTGTAAGCCCACGGCGAAAAAGCCACTCATTCAATGATATCCCCATACATATCCCTAGAATCCTTTATTATAAAAGGACACACAAAAGGAATTTAAACCATCCCACATTTCCCTACCAAACCACTCCGAATATCATAGTATGAAAAAGAAAAGAGAATATAACAATACTCTTCGAACCAAAGAAATCCACGATTATAGCGTCATGACTATTGCCCCTATGCGATAGCTGCTACGATAATCTCCTTGAAGTGAGGGTACCCCAAAATCCCTCCCTCCAATCCATGATTGTGCCGGCGACTGAAAGAAAACAGTCTTTATTATCCATTCAAGTTCTTCGTAAAGCTTTTTCTTTCCAGTGAGCCACTTCGGCAGTTAACCTTGTGATTTCATCTTCAAGTTCTTCCATTCGTTGCATTTTTCT